TCATCTTGCCATTGTTACCCAAGGACACAGAAGGGCAGCTGTTCGGTAATCTACAAATTGCCAAGAAAGCACCCATCCCACTGTTCTCATCTGGAGCACCACAGCATAGATCTCTGTGGTCATTCCTTGTCAGTGGACCCCAGAGCAGGCTTTTGTCTTGCATGGTGGGTCTTTTGAGTCAACCAAACAGGTTTCTATTCTCACCTGACAGCATACTCTGTAACCACACACACATTACTTAACCTCTCTGAGCCTTCTCTTTCTCATCTGTAAAATGAAGACAAGTTGCCACAACCTCACAGAGCTCGTATGAGGATGAATTAAATGTAAAACTATTTATACAAGATCTTTAGATCATCCCTGACCCACAACGGTGCTAGATTCACATTATTGCCGAAGTTCCCTTTGCAATAGTGAGGGTCAGAACTGGTCAGATACTGGATTAGTCATTCAAAGCTTTGGTTTTACTGCTGAAGAAACCGCGGCCCAGAGAAACTCATTAACTTCCTCAGGGTCCTGCATACAAATACAGGAACAGTCATTCATTCATTTGTACATTTAATAAACACATAAACAATGCTTATTATAATGTATCAGACTCTGTTTTAGGTGTTTAACAAGTATCAGAGCATTTAGCAATTGCAGAAACCCTGTGACATAGAAATTATCATCATCTGTGTTTTACAAATGAGGACGCTGAAGGTTCGGTAACGTGCTCAATCCCAGGCTTGTAATCAATGAAAGCGGGACGCAAACCCAGGCAGCGGGCTGTAAAGTCTGTGCATTGAGCCCCTTGCCTGCTCTTAGCGCCTGTGGTACCCACCCTGCTTCATTTATATCCATCTACAGCCTCCGCCTCCGACCTGCTCTCCCGCCCCCTCCTTCCTCCCTTCCTCCCGCCTGCTCCCTGTCCTAATTAATAAGAATGAGAGTGAAATGACTTTCTCGTAAAATCTCACCGAGCAAAGGCTGAGGAAAAGCTGCGTGTTACTACTTTACTAGAGAGAATTCCAACAAAGCTGGAGAGAGAAAAGGGAGGCAGGAGGGGAGGAGGGGACGCACCGGGGAGTGTCATTGATCTGGCTGCCGCTAGGTATTGTTTCATTACAAGGGGCCTTTTCTAAAAGGCATACGAACTACTGCACCAAAGAACTAAGTCTCTGCTGGTGGGAGAGGGAGCAGAACGTGCGTTCACTGGATCCGACCTCCCATCCACCTGAGGTTCGGCTCCATGGGACCCTGACCCTCCTGCACTTCCTGGACTGTCATGCAAGGTCACGGCTGGGCTTCTGGCATCGCCCATATCAGCGGCAGCGGAGAGACTCCTGGAGAAGGTTGTCAGGTGAGGGCTGGAGCCCTGCAGAATGGGGTGGGGGGAGCTGGGGGACTGGCTGAGGGCCCAGAAAGGGAGGTGGAGCCTCGCGGTGGAGCGGGTGATAAACCTGCCCAAGAGAGAGGATGAATCCTCTGGACATGCAGATGGAGCCGGGAGTTCCATGCACAGTGTTTCTGCCATTCCTATTTTATCCTGAGACTAACTGTGTAATTTGGGACGGGGCTCTTAATTTCCATCTATCATGCTTCCATTTATGGGATATTAGGAAGATCAAATAAGCTCACGAACAGGAAAGGCAAGCATCCCTGATTACTCAGGGAGTTGGTGATAGAGCCAAAAGAAATACCTAGCTTTTGAGGTGGCCGACTGATACCACTCAAGCAGCACTCTAGAGTAAGACACAGCCAGCTGCAAGCCAGCTGTGACAGAACCCCGACTGCAGACGTCACGGGAGCGTCTGTGTGTGGCTGTGCAGCCTCTCCCTTCACGTACACACAACTAGAAATGTAAACTTACAACTAGTCAAGAAATTGAGTTCTCCTTCTTTCCTAACTTCTGAGTTGTCAAAAAGATTTTATTCTCAATTTATAAACATATCAATACCCCGCCTCAAGTTGGCATCAGCAGCTGACAAATATTCCCTTCTATACCTTACTGTGACTTCAGTCAATTAAGCATCGAAGATACTTGGTATTTTTGATAAAGCACAAGATAAGAATAATGATCATTTATTAAGCACCACTTAGGTACCAGAGACTCTGCTAGGTGCTGTATATCCATTAGAATTGTTCACGTACTAGTCGCTTCTGATGTTCTGGGACTGCTCCATGCAGGGCAACATGTGCAAACCCCCACAGCCCTGGGACATCAGTGCTGGTATGAATATCTGCTTTGCAGATGAGGAAAATGAGACTCAGAGAGACTAAGTAACTCGTCCCACATTGCACAGCTGGGCTGGAGCTGAATTGAGATTATTGATGAGGCATCTGGCTCTAGAGTCCATGCTTTACACTCTTAACTCGTTGCTATTTAAAACTCACCATGACCCAGTTTGGCCTCTAGGCTGCTGTGCTGCAAACCTGCTTGTAGCATCAAGTGTGAACTCTGCAGGAGTGCCACCCAACCCCAACCCCACCAACCCCTTTCCACCCTATGCCACTCTGCCTGTTAGGAAAGTTACAGTTCAAACCCTGATCGGCTACATTGTAGTTCTATGACCAGGAAGGAGTCACCTGCACTCTTTGATCCTCTGTGTCTATCTGCAAAATGAGGGAAAACCCTTCCTTTACATGGTCTTATGAATTGCCATTGAACCTGTGTGGGCAAACCTATCAAGCCCAGGAACACAGAGAGGTGTAGTCAATTCCCTGCTTCTGAACTTCTGAACTTCAACTGAGATTAGTTTGCAATTGATCTGGGTGCTTCCCAGCTGCCCCCAGGCAAAATGTCCCTCCCACGCTTCTCTCCAGCCTTGGGAGTGAGCGCACTGGGCTATATTTATCATAGCATATGGCATGTGTCTGTCCTCTTCCTGAGTTATTTGAGGGCAAAGTTTCTGGGTTTACCTCGTGCCCCCGAGCCTTCATAGGTTCTGACAAATGCAGGAGCTTAGTAGGTTAATGCCTACTGATTAAATGAGTGAACACTGAATGCAGTATTTTCTGATCCATAGCAGGAGGGAAGTAATGACTTGGTGACTTGGGATTTGATTTGGTTAGATCTATGCGCTCCGGGATTGATCTCTAGGGGAACACAGTTGAGAGGGATTATTTTTTAGCTTTTCTGTGCTCAATTCGACTAACATTTCACTAACATCCACAATGAGCCTGAAGCAGGGAAAGGCAGGGCCGGATGTTCAAGAAGAACTCTTGGCCCTGCCCTAATTTCTGGGCTCATCAATGCCAGTTCTTCCAAACCCTTGCACAAATTAGCCACTTGAGAAGCATTTTTAATGAATACATGTTTGTCCATGTTCTTTGCCCTCAGCTCGGCTGAAAAGAAAGCAGACAGGCTCCAAGATAAAAGAAATTTTCTCTTTCTCACACCCACCCACCTACACACACACACACACACACGTATATACATGTTATATTTTCCAGGTTTAACAAGAAACAATCTTATTTCAAGTAGCATGGAAATAGCGGGCCTGCCTCCTCCTTCTGGCTGGGGTTTTAAAATAGTTTTACAACTGCCTGACCCAGGTTTGTAATGGAATATTTCCCACAACCAGGAGGGCTGTGCCCTGCGTGCCCATCTCTGTGCTCCCATTGGGCTGAGGCAGCCGGCAGTGGGGAGGCAGGACCCGGCGCTGCCCAGGTGGGGCTCCCCTAATGGTCCCACACCAGCCTGCTGCTGAGTTCATCTGCACCACAGCGTGCAGTTCAGTGTAGTGTGAGGCACAAGATAAGCAGGGTTTGGGGAAGCAGACTGGATGCTGCTATGCCCACCTCCCTGGTGCCCAGCGTTTACAGAGGATCCCAGGTAATCTAACGGCATGAAAGCCATTTCCAGGCAAGCAAGGCACATTTCTGGGAGACCCACCGAGCTTGTATTGACAAGCGGCAGAGCTGAGCTCCTCCTCTGTGAACTGGTTAATAATTCCCTGCGGGAGTATGGCCATGGATGAAATCAGACAGAGCATGTAAACGGCCTGGGATGGAAAGACAATGACGGGGACTTTTGCCCTCTTTATGTAGTACCACGTCCACAGAGTGCCCTCATCCTCAGCATGAGGCTCCGTTCACGTTCGCATGTTCATGCATTTGTGTACAGAATTGCCCCCGCGATCAGACCTGATGGCATTTCCGGCCCCACAGCACACTCCTTTAGGGATTCTTACTATAAATCCCTTTTTATTCCTCCCTCACCCAATATAATCACCCCTTGCTCTTAACATACAGGGATAAAAAGCCCCATGAAGCATAGTGCTAAACTGGAAAATAGAGTTGACTAGAAAATTAAGTTATTGCTGTTCTTGCTGCTTTTTTTTCCGCTGAGCATGCATTGAATATAGTCATCGATAGGATGATGGCCATTTATAACGAATTTGGAAAAATCCTGATCACAGGGAATTGTGTTTCTAAGTCACAAAGACAATGGCACTGTCCTGCAGCCCTGTTCAGCTGTCCTTATTCCAAGTCCTGCGTTTCAAGAGACACCCTTGGAGACTGCAGGACTTAGAGGGAAGACTGTCAAACAAAAGGTCAGTTCTACTCCAAACTGAGCCAGTGACAAGTCGCAGGGCCCTGGGTCTGCCTCCTAGAGGCAGGGACTCCTCATCTGTAAAACCCTGGAGGTGGCATTTGTCTTTTTCGGGGCTTTAAAGCTGAAAATGCTTCTGTCACCAACACCATTCAGGCCTGGCTTCTTCCAAATCCTGACAGAATTGGGATACTGCTAACTTACATGGAATCTCTATGCAATTAGAAAAAAGGCACTTGCTGGGTGGGTGCAGCCCCACAGCTTGGGGAGCAGACAGCCACTTTATGAGAAGAAAAGTCCCACTTGCTTTGTATAGGTGCAGTCTTGCAGCAGAGTTTACAGTTTGGCCAGAAGAGAGTGGGCTGCATTCCAGCTGTTATGCATCCCCTTTTTGCAGAACTATATGCCGTGACCCTGCACAGTCTCTTCTTGCCACAGTACAGTTGCATTTGATGAGTCCTTTGCCCTGACTGTGTTATTTTAAAATATACAAGTGGAATCTTGTTGGCAAAGTCTTTTCCACTGGGCCCGACAAGCTCTGGGAGAGACCTCCCCATCATCGGACTGGTCCAGGGTCTGCACACACATCCACCACGCTGCTCTGGAGCCCTGCTCCATGCCTTCTCCTCGGGATTTCATGAGCTTGTGAGGGTAGAGAAAAGGTCTGCTGCTTCTCTGTTTTCTTCTGCACCCCACACAGTGCTGGGTTCTTGATCATGCTCAGAAAATATGAGTGAGATGGAGGAAGGAAGGAAGGGAAGGAGGGAGGGATGGGAGGGAAAGAGCGGGGAGACGTCAGTGAGCGTATCTGTGGGCACTGCTTCCCTGTTGGCTCAGCAGGGCTTCACCTGTGCCTCCTGCATCACATCTGGTGTGAGCTTGCTGTGAACAAACTCATCTCTGCAGTCCGTCCTCCCCCCCCCCCACTAGAATAACTCAGGGGCAGGGAGTAGGCCTTTCTCACCTTTGCCTTCACAAGGCATGTGGCACCCTAGCTAGCTCATGGGTGGGGCCCCACCCCTGATAATGAGCAGAGGGAAAGCAAGGAGAGAAAATGATCTGCAAAGCCCACTGCCTGTGCTCCATGCATCCCAGCACACCAGCCCCACCCGGCCGCGCCAGGCCGCCCGGCTCTGCTCCTGCGTGGACCCAGACCTTTTTCCCTCCCAACTCAGCTGACTTTAGCCTCCCTGATGGGGTTTTGGCATGGATGTCCCCCACTAGCTGTGCCCACTCCCCAGGCTGGGGTGCGGACCCTTGGCACTGTGATTCCTTTCTTGGTTTTGACTCTTTGTCAGATCAGTAGTTTGTTTAGAGCATTGGCACTCAGTCTAGGCGTGGCCACGCATTCGCTTTGGGACACTGGTCAGATGACTCCGTTTCTAAGCCCCTATCTTCACATCTGTAAAACAGGATGATGGGCATCTTACCTGGTTTACTGGAAGACCGACAAGGCTATCCACGAAGGCAGCTTGACAGAGGGGACACTCGGTCAGGGGTTTGTTCCTAGGGCTGTTCTCTGATCCAGGTCAGCAAACCTTTCCTTATATTTTCTTTAAAAATATAAAATTTATTCTTACTCTGTGGGCCATAAAAGACAACCATCATGTGTGAATTTGGCCTGTGGGCCACTAACTATTGCATTAAGTATCTGAAGGAGTCATTTACTTATAATTTTTTCAGTTATTCTTCATTGAATTGTATGCAGGAAAACATGCCTCTGTGTGTGTGTGTGTTTTAAGAATGAGAAGATTCATGACATCTGTAGGCTCCATCCCTTAACATCTTAATCTATAATCAAAATACAAGCTCCCTCTTATTGAATATTTATATGCAGCAGGCCTGGCATCCAGTATTTCACTTTATATTATCAATTATCTAATTAATTACTTATATTACCTATTTCTATATTAATCTTTCATATGTCATCATACATCATCAACCTCATCTTATAGATGAGGCCAAGGAGGCTCAGAGTGGGTGAGGAATTTATGCAATGTCACCCAGCAAATAAGAAGTAGAGACAGATTCCATCTCAGGGCTACTCAACCCTAGAGCCCTGGATTTTCAGCACAGTTCATTCAGTCTCTATCTTCCCTGACTCCTTGGGTCCCGTCCTGGGTCCTGGCCTGCCTGCTGGCTCCTCCATCATGGAAGGGGAGGAAGATTCTGCTTGGTATGCCCCACACACATTCTGAGCCAGGTGTCCCTCCTCTCTTATCAGTCACTAAGCCCAGTAAAATTGGAAAAGAAGGTCTGGAGAGGGTCATAATCAGTCCAGAAAAGCTTCAGAAAATAGATGTCAGGGAGGACTCAGCCAGTGCTTGTTCCCCAAGTTGCCTGGAGAGTTGGTTGTGGACACAGCAGCCTTATCTGTGAGCTGAAGTCAGGAGCCAAGGCCACGTGGGGTGCTGGGGACTTTGGAGGAGAAACATTTGGTGGTTGCATAAGGTTCAATGTGCTCTAGGGTCAAGGTAAGTCAGAAATTCAAATAAATGAGTGATAGTGGAAAGAAGAGGGGTGGCTTTGCATGATGTATGTCAGGGATAGAAACTAGATAAATTCACCAGAAATGTACTATCGATCTCTTTGGGAGAGCAGAACATTTTGTCTTGCCAAAGGTTCTGAGGTCAGCCATCGGCTGATAAGCAGTTTATAAGCTTTTCTGGTCAGATGATATTTTGAAAAGTTCATAGCTGTCTGCAGTTGGGTCAGGGTGGTGAGCTTCGTTATGATGGCTACTATTAGTATCCTTATTTCTCATGGCAAAAATTCTTCTTCAAAGCCTGCTGTGGTACCCCATAGACAAGGGTTTCCCAAACTGCCAGGTGCATGCAGCTCACCCAGGGGTCCGTTGAAAGGAAAATTCTGACTCAGCAGGGTCTGAGATTCGGCCCTAAATTTCTAACCAGCTGCATTTCTACCCTGGGGATGTAAATGCCGCTGGTCCAGGGATCACAGTCCAGGTAGGGAGGCTCAATGCACCACATCCTAGGTGCATACTTGGCCCTACCTTTCAACAACCTGGAGAATCCGAGGAGGGTTCCAAGATGGATTTTGTCTATAGCTGACTTACTGAAGAAAGGTTAGGGGTCAGGATACAAGAGTCCAAATCTTGGTCTGTCCCTTGTTTGTAATGGGACCCGTGGCAAATTATTTTGACTCTGAGTTCTACTTTCCTCATTTGTAAAGTAGAAAAAGCACTTATTGCACAGAGTAAGTGGATTGGAGGATTAAATGCAATAATGCATGCACAGACACTCAGCATGTTATTATGTGTATGAATCTGAAATTATTCTCAAAGGTAAGCCGTCATTCCACGTGCCCTTAGGCACCCCAGGAGGCCACAGGTGGGCACTGAGAGTGTCCGTGGGCCATTATTTCTCTCGAGTGGAGCATTGACTCGGGCCTTGAGAGTTTGGAAAAGCAAGTTCTTTTCTGGCCTCTGTTCTCATCCCTTGCCCAACCGGGATGGTCCCCTCTCCTTCCCCTCTCTGCCCCTGCCCTCCTCTCCCTTGCTACCCCCAACTGCCCACATGGTTGCCCCTAGTTCTCTGCCGCCATGTTCCTGTTTGAAGGTTTGCTGTCCTGTCAGGGCAGGCCTCTCCAAGCCCTTCCTGCTGCAAGCCCCCTCCAGCAACTAGAATTGGGGCCCCTCCCAGCCCAGCAGACAGGGGAGAAACTGCCACAGGGTCCCCCCAACCTTGACCCGCCTGTTCACACAGCTTCTCTCACCAGCTGCTCCACTTTCTCATGACCTGGATCATTTCCCGTCAAGTACGAGCACCTCCCGCTGCCCCTCCACACTCTGCCATGTTGTGTCTGGCAGGAGGGATCTTGACTCGCTACCAAAGGCCCAGGGTTTAAATATAGCCCTGATGGCACCCAAAACATGGCCAACAGGATAAAACATAGAAATAGGACTTCATCAAAATGACAAACTTTTTTCATCGAAGTACATGATCAAGAAAGTAAAAGACAACCTCCAAAATGGGGGGAAGTATCTGCAAACCATGTATCTGATAAGGGTCTAGTATTCAAAATATAGAAACAACTCTTACAAGTGCAAATAGGAATAGGAATTAATGGATGAATGACGGAGACTCTTTCCCCGAATCAGATCAGCACAATTGGAGTTGTTAGGCAATGGCTGGAGACTGACATGATCTACAAAGTCAAGGGTGCAGGCGGTGCAGGGAAAGAAGGCCTGATGTCCTTGACTCTCTTCTTTCCCAGTTTTCTCATCTTCTCTTCCGCCTTCTGAAGCAGTTTCAAGCTCCCGTGCATGGGTGGTGACTTTAATCCAGAAGGCCGATCTCACTTGGCTTCTGATTTCTCCAAACACCTCACCCTCCGTAAGCCTCAGGCCAGGAGGCTGGCTGACAGGAAGGGGTGCGTGTTTGTTTCTGTCATGACTGAGTGTGAACAAGAGGAGGACATTGTCATTTCCTGAGCACCTGCCATGCACCAGATGTGTTACCTAAGTTATTACACACAATGTCCACAATCATCGAGGTGGCAGCAATTATAACTTCATGGGGCAGCTGGGGCAGCTGGGGCTCGGAGGGCTGAGGAGGCTTTCCCAGCCTTAATGGCTAAGAAGAACAAGATGTTCCTGAACCCCAAATCCTGTTTTCTGTGCTCTAGCTGTATGCTTATTCAGTGGGGTGTGTGTATGTGCAGAATATGGGGGATCATTAAAGAGTGAATAGCGTGGGACATAAGCAGGGACTTCCTTGTCCACCTTTGGCTGCACAGCTATAAGGAAGCTGCTGTCTTGTCTCATCAGAGGCTGCCCTCTGCGCTGGCCCAGGAGCAGGAGCAAGGGGGCAGGGCTAATCCCTCCTCAGCTCCTGGATATTTTGCTAAGACTCACCCCCTGCAGTTGGGAATATTTGGTGGCCATGGATGGCACAGAGCAGTTTGAGCAGAATGAAGATGTGGCACATGGGCTGTCAGAAGATGAGCAGCAGGAAGAAATCCAGACATCAACAGGAGAGTGCTTGCCAGTGGGCAGGCATTGGATTTCCATGCTGTAAAGGTGTCTGTATCCCAAGGGGACTCCTGTCCTTCCCGGGGAGGGAGCATGCAGTTCCATAACACAGGAAATCGGCCAATTTCCAAACAAACTCTGATCCTACTGGGGTTTCTATTTGTCCAGCAATGGCGTACAAATAAATGGCTCTTACCAAAAAGCAACAAAGAGCAGAGAGAACAAATGAGTGCCAATGCATGGAGCTATGTCCCATCATGGTGATGACCCACCATGCCCTCCCTGCTGTTTAGGTCACGTCCTCCTGACTGCCTGCACTGCAACGGACTGCAACGGCTCCCTTTTGCATATTATTTAGTCAGTGTCTCTCTGATTTGTCCGTCCACCACAATCATTTAGGAAGCTTTAAAAATCCTGGTGCCCAGGCCTTACTCTGGAGACCAGTTCAGCCTGTATCTCGGGCGTTGGTATTTCATTTAATCTCCGTGTGATACTCCAGTGCGGCTGAACTGTGAGAACTCCTGGCATTGCATCAACTGATGTTCATAAAAACCTTCCCACGATACGTTTTCTTCTTCTCATTTTGAGACTTCTGCTTAAATCAAGCGCTGATGCTCTTACTGCTCAGCTTGCCTCTGGAAGTGGGTTCAGGGCACGTAGAGGGTACTAGAAGACATAGTGGCCAAAGTGGCTGGGGAGGTGGTGTTGCCGTGGGGCAGGGAATGGCACGCTAAAGGCAGTCCCAGAGCCCCTGTGCAGACAAGGCATGGAGACACAGGGGGTGCCGAGACGGATAGGCATGGCCTCCGATCGAGAAGGTCATGATCCACATGCTTCAAATCCTAGCTCTTCCACTGACTGTCTTAGCATCACCTAGGAACTGGTTAGAAATGCAAATTCTCACACCAGAACTACTGAATCTGAAACATGGGTCAGGGGTTCAGCAATCTGTGTTAACGAGTCTTCTAGGTGATTCTGGCTACACTAGAGACCTATGAGGCTAGCGCTCTGGTCTGGATCGTGGGACGTGGGAGCTTCATTTCCTTTGTTGTGGGATGGGGTTGATAACCCAGATTTCATAGGATGAAATGAATGTGTGCATTAAAGGGCCTAGGGCTTTACTTGGAAAGTACTAACAATGACGGCAACACTTAGTATTTCTCTCCACCGGGCATCGCACTTCATGCTTTATCTAGATAATCTAATTTAATCCCCCCACCAATCCTACAAATCAGTTACTATTTGTCTCATTTTACAGGTGAAGAAATGGATGCGCACAGGCCTAAGGACACCACCCAGAGCAGTCTAGGTCCAGAGGCCCTGCCCTGCACCCCTGCCTCCCACGGGAGTCACACATCCAGGTCCACAGGAGAAAGTAAGATTGACCAGTAAGTACAATTCACGAGGAAGCGTATTGAGTCTCCCAGCTACTGTCTCCCCTTTCCTGGTAAGACTGAAAAAGAGAGGACAGCATCCTCTGTTTCTGCAACTTTGGAGAAAATTCACCAATGATTAAAGGACATTTTCATACGGAAGACCAAACAGGGTATTGAAATAAGACCAAATGACCGAAGTGAGAGAAGCAGGTTGAAAGAGAGAACAGAAGGTCTGGCATGTCTCCAGATGCCCTGGGAGAACAATGTGAAAGGCTTACTAAGAAGATATCAACCTCTGCCCCACCGGAACCAGAATGGGAAAGCTGACGGAAGTCTCATCACAGGATGAGAGCCCCACCCGTGGAGGCGGCTGAGACCTGTGGAGGAGACGGGGTGTGGAGGCAGGCGGGCCCGGGGGCCTTCCATTCTGCCTCTGCCCACTGTGTGACCCGTGCCTTGGTCTCTGAGTGTCAGTGTCCTTGTCTCTATAATGGCAGTAAGCGTGAGATGTGGTGACACACATGACCCCTGTGGCACACAGATTATTGAGTGCTCAGTAACTACTGATGGGATGGGCCTCAGAAAGAAAGAAGTGACTCCAAGTGCCCCTTCACTCTCAAAGCTAAGGGCTTGGCAGTGTCATATTTTGGGCACTGGTTCTGTGTTAAGCATTTTTCAGCTGTCGTCTCGTTTAATTTTCCCTATTACTTAGACACAGACTCCACTTATATTGACAGTCTGGCTCAACTATCATTGGTGTGTGTGTGTGTGTGTGTGTGTGTGTTTCAACTGGCATAGCCACTCATGTAGTTGGGAGCAAGAATTAGAGGTAATCTATTCCCACCACCTCATTTTCCATATGGGGAGATGAGACATGGAGAAGAGAAGACATTTTGTAGGGTCCCCGAAAGCAGTGTTGGAATGCAGCCTTATGGTGCCTTTGCGTTAGCTAAGAGCAAATGCACATTCATAGGTAAGTATGAAATGCATTTACCAATCCAAGCATATCAGAACTTTCCATCGTGACTATGCACTTTTTAAGTAAGGTAGTTAGAAGCAGAGGCTTTGGGGTCACACTGACACAGGTCAGAGTCCCAGCTGTGCAATCTTGGTCAAGGATCTCCCTGTCTCTGACCCACAGGTTCCTCAACTGTGGACTTGCTGATTTATGAGTAGTTGAGATGCAGGAAAATGCAGAACTGCCTGTTAAGCCCAGAGTGGTTAGACAGCAATTGCTGCAATTGCACAATCTTAGCATATAATTATTGCCCGTCACGACCATCCTGAGGGATATGTGCTCCTTAACTGCACGTAAAGGAGAAGATGGACAGCTCAGACACCTAAGCACCATTTTTGTTCCTTGTGTGTGTGTGTGTGTGTGTGTTGTTTGTTTTGATTTGACATATGTTTTAAAATCCACAAGACATTGCAATTATTGTTTTGTGAAGTCCACATTTATTTATATTTCCCCTTACCGATGTCCTTTCACTCCCATGTTTCTCCCTGGGACTGTTTGCCTTGTCTGAAGAACACTTGGTATTTAGTGTTCCCTTCTGTTGTGATTCACCTGAAGGTGCCATTTTCATTTTTGAAAATATATTTCTACTGCCTATATAGAATTCTAGTGGGCAGTTTCTTTCTGTGATTTGCTGTCATTCCATTGTCTTCTGACTAACATTGTTTCTGTTGAAAGGTTAGCTATCAGTCTTATTTTTGTTCCTTTGAAATAAATCTGACTTTCCTTCCTACTTGGCTCCTTCCCTCTCTCTCTCTTTCCTCTCTTCCTTCTTTCTTCAAATAATAAAGTATCACAAGCATACAAAATTGCATTTGGCATAAGTGTACATACAAGTGAATGAACTCTCACATACCCGTAGAATCAACAAACAGATAAAGAGGCATCATGATGAGCCCCTCCTCACCACTGTCACATCATTTCCCCTAACTACTCCCCAACATAGTCTCAAGAGCCACTCCCACTGCCATCACTACACATGAGTTTTCCCTGCTTTTGGACTTTATATAAAATGAATCATGCAGTATATACTTCTGTGTCTGGCTTCCTTTTCAGCATTATGTCTGGGAGATTCACCCGGGCTGTTATGTGTAGTTGCAGAGGCTGTGTTCTCATTGCTGTATAATATTTCAAGGAGAAAATATTCCACAGTTAATTTACTTATTCATTCTACAGTAGATGGGATTTGGGTGATTTTCAGTGATGAAGACTGTTTCTATGGGTATTCTAGCACAGTCTTGGGTGACCGTAACTAGGAGTGGAAATGCTCTGTCAAAATATATGTATGCATTCAGCTGCTATACATGTTGCCAAATGGTTATAGAAAGTGGCTGTGTGTCCACCTGCAGTGACTAAGAGCTCCTGCTGTTCCATACCACCCTAACACTTGTCTTTTATTTTTTAGCCATTCTAGGAGGTGTTGCACCATTTCTGAGCTCAGTGTGAACACTTGATTAGACTTGAAACCACAAGTTCACAAGCTATTGCAGATCAGAAACCAGAAAGGTTAGGCAGCCAGCAGAGAGGCAGGAAGGGAAGCATCTAAGGACTACAGATCCTGAGGCAAGATGAAGCATTATTTCTGCTTTACAGATGAAGAAGGCAAGACCCAGTGAGTGGAAGTGACTTACCTGAGACCACACAGGCGGGAGAAGACAGGAAATGGGTTTCACTAAGGTTTGCCTGACTTCTAAGCCCCAGCAGTACCAGCCTAGGCACGTGGCTCCTCATTTCTACTTCTGGGCCCACTGCTGACCTGCTCCTCCTGAATTGCCCTGCCTGCCTTTTAGATCTTAGTTCTGGGTCTCACTTTTTTGCATGTAACTATCAATGAAGGCCAGTGATTGGAATATGTTTTTTTATTTTGTTCTTATTTTGATTTGCAGACTAGGAGACTAAAGCTCATACTGGTGAAGTGACTTCCTTAGTGTCTTATAGCTAACTGATGGCTAACCAGACTCCTGGCCTGATAAGCTGCCCACCTCACCTCCTGTCACTGCCTCTGTGGCCTCCAGGGCAATGCTAAGAAAATGAGAAGATGAATTTGTTTTACTTCCTTGATATGAATTGATGTTGGTTTTATACCAACAGGTGAGGACTGTTTCCAAATGGGGTGTGTGTGTGTGTGTGTGTGTGTGTGTATGTGTATGTGTGTGTGTGTGTGTGCATGCACACAGAAACACTCATGCAGGTTCACAGAAAGGGTTTTATCAATGTCACTGTGTTAAGGGTGAAAATGTATTAAAGAATAAAAGCATTCATGGCTCAGAGTGCTGCCTGAGATTCTGGGAATGTGAGGAAATGTGTTTACAGTTTAGCCTTAGGTCCTGGATATGATCCAGAAATAGTCAGCAGAGGAACCTGGCTTGTGAAGGGTGTCCCATTCATCCATCAAACGCTTCCTGAATGTCTAATATTCACCAGACACTGAGCTGGGTGATGGGGGTATGAAGAAGAGCAAAAAGTCCTGGTCTTTACAGAAATCGGGAGAGAGAAACCTGAACGTGGGGTCACACAGAAACAACCATTCTGTGTGAGGACTGCTCAGACTGTGTGCACACACAGGGGCAATCCCACGAGGACCTTGCCTTCCCTATTTACCACTGTGTCCCTTGTACCTGGTCCGGTTCCAGGCACGTAGTAGGCACTCACAAACATGCTGCAGGGTGAGCATGACGGTGGGGCTAACTTTAATTGGGAGTCATGGAGGTACAGGAAGTTAGCTAATATAGGAAACTGGGTACTCATGCATTTATTCATTCATTCATTCATTCATTATTCATTCCCTCGGGTGTTAATGGAGCCATTTGCTCTTGTGATGCTCACAATATAGCAAGAAGGGAAGATGAGTAATGACTAAATTGCAACATAACTTGAAACGTGCTATACCAGGATCCGAGTTGTATGCAGCTCCAGAGGAGGAAGGGCCGAAGAAAGCAAGGGAGGTCGTGAGGCTTCCCAAAGCAGGAGGCACTTGACGTGGCTTTTAAGGGGAAATGGAAGTTTCCAGAGCCTCGAAGGGGATCATGTGAGGATGTCAGTGAGAAGGCCAGGGAGGGGCCATTAAAAGGGAGCTTTCCTAACCCTGGAGACCCCAGCCTTGGTAAAGCTGACAACACGTCCCACAACAGCCATGTGCTTTACAGACTGTGAAGCACCCTGTGAATGACCAATGGAAGACTAAGCAGAGTCATAGAACTTGGATGTTGGTGCATTTGGCTGTATTAGTTTACAGGAGGTGCCGGCTTTGGGTGGACACATTACCACTCTTGACGCCGTTCATAGAGCTTGCCATTGGTCAAACAATTCCCAGCTATGGTACTTGAGAAAGACAGGGCCTTAAGAGACTCCCAATCATTGGATCTGGTATTCATTCATTCTTCTAACTTATTTATTCATTCATTCATATGTATCAGTGGATCTCTTGTCGTAAGAACTCTTATCTGTAGCCTTCCTATGTAATCCAGCCAAAGAGGAGTTACTCAGGAGGGGGAGGCAGAAGGAAGGGATGTGGCCAGCACCCCAACCCTTCATCTACTTTGAGCCCCAGTGGAGCCCCTCCTGTGCTCCAGGAATTCCAAGGAACATAGCTGGAAAACTTCTCCTGGAATGGAGAAAGTAAGATCCAAAGAGGGCAAGTGACTCGTTCATTAGCGAGCAGCAAAGTCTAGGCTCCCGTGCCTTGGAGCAAAACTCTTCATGGAAGCACTCAGGAAACCCAGCCTCACGCAGGAAGGCCAGAGACGGTGGTCCTGAGGGTTCAACTGACGTCTCTGCTCAGTCAGGATGGGGGACCTGCTCTGGACTTGCTCTCTGCCCCCCACCCCAGCTTGGATGTGATCAGGGGAAAGAGCATGGGCACAGTGAGCTGAGCAATGAGGTGTAACTCTCCTGTTACGTAATAATCACATAATCTTGGGAAACATGATCGCCTCTCTGAAAATCAGTTTCCTCACCTATAAAATGGGAGCATCCTGAGAGGGTTCAAGGTGCGTCAAGTGCGGAGCCCAGCAGGGTGGGTCATTGATAAAAGTGGGTCTCGGATAAATGCTCGTTTCTTTATCTCTTGTTGCACCGAAAGTTTTATCAGTTATTTTCCACTTGACTCTGCAGTTTGGGACTTAACAAAAAATAATGAAGCACAAGCATCTCTATGGCCACAGAGCGACATTCTGCTTTCTCAAATCATCAGCTCCTTAAAAAGAGCTAGTCTTTTAAATGGACCACAATAGCTCTGTGGCTGCTGTCCTTCCGGCCTCTTGGTTTTACGAGGGGAGTGTTCGTGGGTTCTTGGAACAACATGGAACAACCAGAACAGCAAGAAGAACAAGGAACAAAAGCAGAAAGTCTCCCAACAAACCCCTCTGTCTCTTCAGCTGGGACTACTTTTTGGAAGGGAAAAACTGGGCATGGAGGACAATATACAGCTTTTTTTTTAATGGCAAAGAACTGGTACAGTGAGAGTGGCAAGATTTAGGGACTCTGAAGAAACTGCTCTAACAATTTGGTTTTCTCCAATTTGTGACCCTTCACCGAGAACCTACTCTGAGCCAAACCCTGGTCCAAACTTGGGGAGGCAGAGCTGGCTGAGAACAGTGCCGCCCAAAGAAAACAGGGATCACCTGCCAGAGATGCAGATCCTGGGGCCCCCCTCCCCCCTGCAGAAGCCCAAATGGCATGGCAGGAGGACGTTTAGAAAAGCAAAGCTAATTCAAAATCACTGCCAGTGGACAAGCCAGGCGAGTACAGAAGTGTCACAGCTGGGAGGGTGCCTGGCCTGCAGCATCGTGGGCGTTCCCAGTCTACAGAGGGGGACCCAGCTGCCCGGTGCTCGGGGAAAGCTCCCTGTGGGGTGATGCCACACTGAGTCCTGAAGGCCAAGGAAGAGCTGGCAGGTAAAGGGTGTGCATGTGATGAAAGTGGGCAATATTCTGGGAAGGGGAGGAACAGGGGTGCAGATGGTGCCCCAGCACTGCCCTGAGTGGGGTGTGTGGTGAGATGGGACTGGAGGTCGGTGGGGGGGTCCAGTCACAGCAGGTCTCAGGAGCTTTCCTGGGTGCTGGCCCCTTACTTTGTGGCTTTCGGGGCTGTCGGAGGGCTTTAGCAGGGGTGTGATAGTCCCTGCTGTGCATTTGGGAATGAACACCATGGAAATAGCGAGGACTGTGCTTACAGGGACAAACCAGAGCAGGGCCACTGCTGAGGGAACACTGACGAGAGCCTGTTCCCTGGGCAAGACCGGAGGTAGGGGTCTGGGTCCTCCCGGGAGCAGTGGGAATGGGGCCACGGGGCTGGGCAAGAGTGGGACAGTCACTGGATTAGGGTGGCATGATAGAGGCATGGGGTGAACCCTTGGGTCTCTACCTGGGCAGCTGGGAGGAACGTGAGGTCTCTGAGAGAGAGAGAAGGTGGGAGCAGGCTCATGGCAGTGAGTCATTCCTGGCTCCCCAAACCCCTCTTGACTTGGAAGGGAACTGAAATTAAATTCCCAGAAGGTTGGCTTGACGCCTCTTGTCTTTGGAAGGCAGAATAAATTGTATTCAATGCTGCCGGCTGTGGTTCCAGCTTTGTTTAGAAACATTGGTTCTTAAGATGTCAGCGTTGATGCTCAGAGGTCACCTAATGAAAGAGCTAGGAAGAGGGTGTCAGGCGTCCGGGGCCGGACACTGTCAGACTAATCCCCAGAGCTGTCACTGCCCCTCCCCTCCCTGTGATGGTGGGCTTGCTATTTAATCTCCTTCCTGTTTCTCTGTCGTCAAACAAGAAGGCTTCTCTGAGTCTGCAGGGTGGTCACGAAGATCAGACAAAATGCTGACTGCAACACGTAGAAGACTGTGGTCGGTTCCTGTGAGCTCAGAGAAAATTTTTTCTTCTAATTAATTATTGTGGTGCATAGAGTTCTCACGAATCCCTCCTCCCTACTGGAGAAGCCCAGAGGGAAGAAGGAAATGGCTTTCCACAGCCAAACAGCCACTCAGCGGAAGAGTGAGATCTGGGGTTCAGGTCCTCCTGCCCCCAGCCCTGAGCGCCCCGTTGGGTTTTCTCTTTCCAGATCTCAGGGATCTGAAGGGCTCCAAAGCAACCCGCTGGGAAGTGTAAAATCCCCCATGGCTTCCAGGATTTTCTCCATTGAGTTTTTTGGTGGAATTTCAGAGCAGTAGACAGGCTCAAACCAACCTCATACCCAACCGGCCTGACCCCGAGGCTGTGAGGCCAGGACAAAGTCTGGTTTTATAAGGCCCTTCTGCAAACATGGCCAGAAAACCGAAGGAAAAAAAAGATGTTTAACTGCTCATTTGATCTCCACAATGATAAAAGGCACTGAAGTTTCCCTATTAGCTAACAAACTTCAAAGGTTACATTCAGCATCAGCTGGTGTGTTAAACAAGCATGCTTCCTGAGTGCCTAGGATGGGCAGATGGGGTGCTAGGTGCTTTTCCATTTGGCCTTACTGAGGCCTCTTGACCTCCCCACGGGTAGGGTGACGTTCATTCTACAGTTGGGGCAGCAGAATGTGAGAATAGTTTCAGAGTTGAGCAAACAGCTGGCATGGCCAGAGTGGGAAGCCAGGAGCTTTGGCTGTGTCTGGTGTCCCCCCCACCTTAATAACCCCCCATCCCAACAGAAATGGCTGCTTGTTCAAGCCCAGCTTGGCATTCCCTCCCATCCACAATCATCACCTCCAGTGACACTCTACCCAGTTAGTTGAATTGTGGTCAGACTGGTGGTGCCCATGCAGATGTAGAAATACTGATGACCTCATTTCTCCCAGGGTCTGTTAGTTTCTGGGGAGCCTGATGCAAGTCAAGGAGCAGCAACACGATCCAGGAGCCGAAATATCCAGGCTGCCCTCTGAACCGTCAGGAACATGCAGGTAAGATCTTCTTGAAGTGGAAGAGAGGAGAAGTCTGGGTGAATCTGATGGGTTATGACAAGCCCACACATGCCAAGCCCTGTGGGGCTACAAAGGTTCACTGGGTCGAGCGGGACCACGCGGGGCTGGGATCCCATGTCTGGCACCGCCTCTGTGAGTGCGCTCTGATGCCACTGTCTGCTTTGTGCCTCCGAGCTTCTATTTCCACATTTGAGGATATGGCTACTGATAAAAACTTTCAGGGAATGTAGTGAGGGTGAAAAATCATGCCTTTACTGGAAACTAAATTCACACTCAACTCTTGACCTCAGATGCCAGGCACAGACCTGGGTGGTTACAAGTGTCACTTCCTGAGCCAGACTGCCTGGGGTCAAGTTCAGGAAGTGACCTGGAAGCATTTCGTTTAATCTAAGCCTCAGTGTTCATATCTGAAGATAGGGCTGCTAACAGCACATACTTCATATGGTTTATCCTGAGAATGACAGCTACGCAAACATGGCTTTCAGCCTGTGAGCAAACATAGCCAAGACAGACGGTAGAAGGTGGTGTGGTGTGTGTGGTCGAGAATTTTAAGACAAGAACCAAGTCCTAGTCACCAAAATACCAAAGTCATACATATGTGGCTGAAATCCTGCTACACAAGGTATAGCGAGAATAATGGTTAGTGCAGAGGATGGCGCTTCATCAACCGTGAAATGTCTGCTATTGATGAGAGGGGAAGTCAGAACTCGTGGTGGTGTCATTGGCGTGGTGGTTGTATCCTGGAGGGCCGGGCCCATGTCTGCTGGTTTCTAAGACCACCCCGGCACACAGGAGAAGCCAAGTCACTCCCAGAGCTTGAACCAGTATGTGGCACATTCCATGGGGCTCTCTGGGTGTTTGCCAAGCTGCATATGTGCCTGCCCAGTAGGACTGATTTCCCAAGATGCTGGGCCCTCCGCACTCGACACGCGAGCACTTTGCACATATGCATATGTGGACCGTTCTCTGCCAACTTTAGTGCTTCACTAACGTTTGCTGATATTACCATCTGCCAAGGGAATTCCACGTGCCATCTACCCTTTCCTAGAAAGGAAAATAAATGGTTTTTGGTTTGCAAAAGTCTTTGTCTTCTATTTTTAATGTGCACCTAGCTGTGGTTTTAAGAAGTGGATATTAAACCATCTCCAGGAATTATGCCCCCCTCCCTAAATTTCTGCATTTGCACAACTGTCCTTCAGTGAAACCTGAAATCAAATCACCTTCCTCTTGAGTAGTTATTCTAGTATTTGCAGGTTTCCTGGGAAGGAATATTAAAAGAAGTGATTGGTTCTGTGAGCCTTCTGCCTCCACAGAGACACGCTTGAACGTTGGTGGTGTGTGGCTGCAGCCAGGAGCACAGTGTGGTCCCTCTCCTGTGCCCTCCTTGTGCAGCTCCACCCTAGACACAGTCTCTTCCTCTGAGTCTTCTAGCCCGCCCAGCTGCACGTCCCTAGAGCATGCTGGGCTGTTGATATCTGACCTTGTTCCAGGCCATTCTGTCTGTCAGGAACAGTCTCTCCCACATGTCCACTCATTCTCCACCTGGACTCCAGCCGGGCGTCCCTTGTCTTCTCTCCCCAGTACCTCTCTCACGTCTCTGGTAAAAGCATCTTGATTTCACTCTGTGGTTCTGCTTGGCCCTCACCTTTGGCCCCTCAGCACAAAGCCAAAGTCCCCACCATGGTTTCCAAGGTGCTGGGAGCTCTCCATGTCCCACCTGCCTCTGAAGTGCATTTGCCCCATCATTCCCTAGGGCCAAGCTTGGGGACATCTGCTGTCCCCCAAAGTTGTCCAGCCCTTTCTTGCCACAGGCCTGGGAGATGGCCCTTCCAGCTGTGGCAGCCCTCTGACCCCAGACACACACTTCAGCTTCTGCCTAACGTAGCCTCTTTCTCTGGGAGGCCTTTCCTGACAACCCTTTTGAATGTGGCAATCACCACCCCTCCTCTGGGCATCCCATCCCCTTTCCTTGGCTTGCTTTTCTCCCTAGCATTTGTACTTATATACCTGACCTATATGTGTTTTATTCATTTGCAAGCTCACCGAGGACAGCAAGTTCTGTCCTTTCCGTCTTGATGCAGCCTCTTCTCTCAGAGCTGTGCTTGGCTCACAATGTTCCTTAATGGATGTTCTGCAGTGAATGTAGTTAGGAGAGAGCTGATATGTCCCCATTCCCGTTCCTCTGACTCCAGGGATGGGCATGTATCCCATGCCTGCCCAAGCAGCATCTTCTACCCCCTGGAAGCAGGGATTGGCTCAGAGAGGCCATCCCAGCTCTCGGACAGGCCAGGCAGAGTCAGCGCAAATGCTCCTAGAAAAGAAGCCCTTTTCTTCTCTGGCGTTGCTGAATGGATAAACTACCCCCCCAACTCCCCCCACCCCCCCACCCCCCTGCTGCAGGAGGCCATTGAACAGTGTGCAGGGAAAGAGGCCTGAGGGGGAAGCTTGTGAAAGTAAGGCCAAGAGGTGGAGATAAACCTCCCCCAGGGCCTGTGAACTAGCTTCTGTTCCTGCTAACTCCCCTGGGTCCACCCATACCTGAATCTCTACTTCTGACATCTGTTTACATGGGCCCATGAAATCCCTCTTTTGGTGAAGCCAAGGTGACCTGGGATCAAGCCCCTTGCAACAGAGAGTCCTGACTAGTCTCAGGGACAAGGCCTCCTCCCCGAGGAAGCTCTCCTGCCCCCCTTGAGAGACCAGGTGTTGGTCTTCCTGCCCCCTGCCTGCCCGTTGCGTATTTCTCTCTGCTGGCTCTCATACTGTGTTGTAAAGAATGATTGGCCTATTGATCTCTACCAGTCTGAGCATTCCTTGAGGGCAGGACCTCATACAAGCCATTTTTAGAGATTCCATACCTAAAACAAAGTAGGTACATAGATACATATTGGTTGTACCAACAGTTGAATGAATGGGATTGGCTAATACTATTCTGCTGGGTGAGCTCCATTTAGGTGCTCACTTGTTTTCAAACATATCCCACCCAAACACCTTTCTTGGCAGAACTTTCTCGGGCCTCGGACTTCTCCAGAACTGGTATCTTTCCAGATGTGTGTGCCTTCTTGAAGAGCCAACCCAGAGCAAGCTGAGATGGCCGCTTTATTCTCTACCAGACACGGGCCCGTGTCATTTAGGGAAGTGGCATTGCAAACAGATTAACTTCAGCAAACTGAGCCCTGCAGCAAATTAGAAATTCCCTTTGATTAAAAAATACCTTTTATTTCAAACACATGGAGCCAAAGAGTGAGTTTATGTTTTTAATAAGCTGTTCCATATTCTGAAATTGATTTTATTTCTCAAAGTGGAATCAAAGGGGATAGGGAAATAATTTTTTGGGGTTTATCCACACGGCCAATGTGTTCGTTTGCAGATTACATTTGGAGTGGCATAGGTGGGTATTGGTTAATGATTTAGGGGGTGCTTTAAGACCCTAACCCATAGGTCAATGAGTAAGCAGGGAGATGGGAAAGGCTATCTTGCTTTGGATAACAGAATGAGGGGCAGCTCCTGACTTGGGAGCCTCTGTGCCTTCCCATCTTCCCAAGGCTCCGTGCACAGAGGCTCATCTCTAGACAGGCATCCCAGTTCCCAGCCTGGCCCAGCAGGGTCACAAGAATATCAACAGCTTCCAGCAGAACTTGAAATCAGTCATGCCATGAGCAGATCTGCGAGGGCATCATGGATGGTCTGCTGAATTGTTCCTCTGGAGGAGAGAGGCAAATAACACCATCGCCTGGCCCTTCTCTCCTTAGGGGAAGCCATCCCAGCTCTCCATACGTATTTGCCCTGCACCTAGGAAGTCCAAAGTACTGTTTCTAAGACTCCTTGTATGGTAGGCTGGCACAGGGGTTGGTTCAAAAACTCTTGCCCCCTGCCCTGGGACCAGGAGGCTGATTCCCAGTCTCAGCTCTGCTGCCCACTCTGCGTTCTTGGGGAAGTTGTAGGACTTCTTGCCTCCGGTCGCATGGAATGCTGAGCTGGTGGGTGGCCTCTGAGGGCCCTCTCAGTACTTATTCCTCTGAGTACTGATGGTATGGTGGCTTGTGGGACTTGACCCTATCACAACTGACCCATATAAATATTAGGTTTTTTGTCTGTCAGCAACAAGGAGAGATAACTGATCCTGGATTAGATAAATTTGCAGCAAGAGAAGCCGGCCAGTCCAGCCCCTCTCTGGGAGGCCCTGTGCCCTCGCCAACTGTGAAGGCAGTGAGCGCGGGCCTGGGTGTGTCCTCAGCGCCAGGCACTGTGTGGCCTGCCTTCCCCCCATTGACTCCTGGACCTACTAACCTACTGACCTCTGGCAACCATCAGTTTCCTGCTGCAGATCCTTTTTTGGTCATTGCTTTGCAGGCTGGAGTCTTAGCTTTTGTATTTGATTTGCATGCCTTTCCTAGCTGGCCACAGCCTGCCTCAAACCTTGCTTCATGTCTAGCCGCATCCCCACATCCCTTTCCTGGACACATGATGCTCATTCAGGCACCAGCCCTTGAACATGCTGCACTGTTCACTTGGAGCACCATTTCTTTTCTCTGGTCAACAAACTCTTACTCATCCTGCAAGAGCCGGTTCAAATATGCCCTTCTCTAGAATGCCCTATCTGACCTCTCCAGGCACATTGAACATACTCGGCTCATATTTTCACAGCACCTTGTACTGATTGCCAGCTGCCGAGCCGCCCTCTCACCCCTCCCCACTGACCCTCTGCTCATCTCCAAATGCACCCTGATCTCCCCAACAGATATTTACTGAAAAGAGCTTGGCACTGAGCTACAGATATACTAAAAAATGATAGGTCCCCACTCCAACGCCAATAAACAATGGACAGTTGGAGCACAGCGTGGCCGGGGCTATGATGGGAGAAACACAAAAGTCAGCTGGAGCGCAGAGCACCCCGCATACCTGGCTGCCAAGGTATGCCTACCATCGCCAGTCTCCCCCACTGGGCTGGAGCTCCTCCTCGGGCGGGGCTCACATCT